AGCCCGGGAAATTCAAATCCCGGGCTTCATTTGCAAGTGCGGTATGCCTACATTACCCCGCTAGTTCGAACTAGCGGGGTAGTGTAGACATACCCTGGCTGAGTTTCTGGAGTCCTCTCATCCTGATTTAAAGAACAGTAGTTACAGGAAATCCACAATATACTTCAGTTCAAACCAGTATGTACCCCGTGCTGGAGAGGAGGCAAACCTTCCCCATCATCTCTGCCAGTCTGTCCTGGGGAAAATTCCTTCCAGACCCCAAATATAGTAATCAATTAGACCCTGAATATGTTGGTGAGAGCAATCATCCAGACACCTGAGAGAGACATCACCATCTGGTTTCCCATCTCCAGCCTGATATTTGGGCTGGAGCAGTTGCTACTGGGAGCAGTCTCATTATGCCAACTCCTCCATAAATGAATCAAACTTGGTCTTGAAGCCAGTAAAGTTTTTGCCCTCACTAGCCCCCTTAGAAAGCTGTTCCAGAACTTTACTCCTCTCGTGGTTAGAAAACATCATCTACTTTCAAGCCTATATTTTTTTCATAACTGAACCGAACTCTGAATTTCCACAGGTGTCAATGGGAACTGAATTTGTCCCATTGTGTGCACATAATTCCTGTTTTTAGAACGTTTCAGCGGGGTAGCCGTGTTAGTCTGTAACTTTAAAAATGAATCATCCAGTGGCACCTTAGAGACCCCATCCCCCTTCTGTTCTGAAATTTGATTTGTCCTTTTCATATATGTTCATATTTTTAATTGTATCCTTTGGTATATATGGTTGTGACAATTTTCTTCCACTATTTGATCTGAGGAAGTGGGTCTGGCCCACGAAAGTTCATCATATAATAAACCATCTTGTTAGTCTTTAAAGTGCTACATAGTCCTGTATTTTGTTACAAATATATAAAGTATCAAGATTTCGTGGGCAAAACGCACTTTGTCGTCATCCTATTTTCAGAGCAGAGTTTGTCCCATTATGTGCTTTCACCTTCCTATTAATATTTTGTGCACATAGGGGAGAGCATGTCTGAGGTTATTCACACTGTACAATAACTAATGTTGCCAGAGTTCAGTGCAAGCTTGTGAAGTTCATTGACACCTGATGTGATAATATCGCCACTGGAAACAGGCATCAGGCCAAATTCTTGGCCCTAGTACAGTTGCCTTACTCTGCTCCAGGAGCAAACCGACATCTGTAAAACCAGCTGCTCTGTTGGGATTCGCCATGTGCAATTGTAGTCATGGCCCAAATGACAACTGTAGAAACGCTGCCTCTTTGGGAAATTTACTAGGTGTTTGTTTCCCAGGTTTACCACAACTGTAGTTGTATCCTGGAGAATGGTCCCGCGGGTTCTGCCCAAGCAAGAGCAGGAAAATGCACTTCCTCCTGTGACAGAAGGAACCTCCTTCTGTGTTTCATGTTCGTTGTGATTTTCTTTACATTCCTCAGCAGTATTCCTGCTCTGACTGCAACTCTACGGTAAGCAGCAAAACCTTCTTGTTGTAATACAAGGCCCCCGTTTCAGCCAGAAGTAATGGAACAAATATGTTTTCATTGTAGCTGAGCATTTGGGGCTGAGTCCGGGGCCTGATAAAAATGGCCCAGTTCTCAATGTCCAGTTGTGAGCTCCTTTAGCGCCTCCTGGACTGCGGCACTTGGTCCTCCCCAGCCCTCAGAGCCGTACGGAGCAGTACTCTGGTGCTCCCGCTGCAATTCAAAGGTGCCCAGGGCTCCAGCAGCTGCAGTAGTAGCAGCAGCAGCCTGAAGCTCTGGGCCCCTTTGAATGACCAGGCCCTGGGGCAAATGTCCCCTTTGCCCCTCCTCCCGTCAACAGGCCTGGCCCTCAGTGAGGTAGACAGACAGGCAAATACCCAGATTTGCACTACTGCCCAAAAGTGTGGACACAAATATTGGTGGTACACATTATGCCCACAAAAATGGGAAAATGAGCCACATTCTGGCTGAAAATAGATCCCTTTATCAGCAGAGTCCACTGTTAGATGGTATTATGGGCTGTGGAGAGGCTCGTATCTATGCTGCTGGGAAGCTGCTGTTGCTTTATGTCAGCATTTTTAAATGCTAACTTTGTGTCCTCTAGGTGTGTCTCCGACCGACAGAAATCATTTGCTCTCGGAATCCAGTGGATTGTAGTAAGGACTCTAGGTAGAGTATGGCATGAATGTGTATGTCTTTCCTGTTGTATTTATAAAACCTTGCTCGCAGGAGTGTCTAAGGGCCAAATGCAGCTCGTGTAAGAGTAGGGAAATGTGACGTTTGAGGGAAGGATGTTTTCTCTCACTTGCCTGCACCATTCACAAACATTCCATCCTGTCTGCACATAACTTGCGAGCAGGAGAAAAGAGCTCAATTTTGCAGCCATATTGTTCATTGCAAATAGCTCGCCCAACTGTAGAGATAACGTAATGTGGAATAGCAAAGCTTCATACAATATCATTAGCTTGAAGTTGGTAAAGTCAGGCTCAAGGACACCAACAGTTCCGTTAGGGCCTACCGGTGAGGGGAATTTGAACTCTTATAAGTGTCATGCACTGAAATGAGATCTCATTATGCTATGCTGGCTGTCAGAGGGAAAACTAAAACTCCTGTAACATGTTTCCAAAGGAGTAAAGAATAGCAGTGGGCAATTGCTCATTCCAGGAAAAAAAACAGGTTATGCTGTCCCAGGCCCTAGATAAGTACATTAGTCATTGCTGAATTCATAGGCTGGGATTTTCAAAAGAGCTTTTGGGCATTAATCACCTAACTCCTACTGAAATCCAGCAGGGTTTGGGTCCCTAACTCCTCTAGGCTCTTTTGAAAATCCCCGCCATAAGGATTGCAGTGTCAGATGAAGTCTCAGAGGGGAGCCATGTGAATCTGTATCCACAAAAACAATGAGGTTTCCTTTAAGACTAACAGATTTATTAGGGCATCAGCTTTCGTGGTTAAAAACCACTTTGTCAGATGTGAAACTTTTACCCACAAAAGCTGATGATGAAATAAATCTGTTAAGTCTTTAAGTTGCCACAAGACTCCTCGGTGTTAGCTTACTCAGCAACCGTACCTGCAAACTCCCCTCCCCCTTGTTTCAAAAGTGCTTTGGGCTACCTTGAGGAGGAGAGCGAGACATTATATAACCTGATGTTTTGTTCCATCTTCGTGCAGGAAGCATTCCCGGTCCCATTGCATTCGGCTCAATGATTGATCTGTCATGTCTGGTGTGGCAAGACCAATGTGGAGAACAAGGTTCTTGCTACGTTTACCAGAACTTCGCCATGAGTCGATACACTCTGATTGCTGGAGTTGTCTACAAGGTGATGCCCAATAATATTTCATATTCACCTCTCCTGGCCCAGGCTTTTTGCTTAGGATTGGTTAGATAAGCAGCACCAACTGAGGCGGAATTTTGGAAACATCTGTAACGTTGTTCTGATTGCAACATAAATCCTATCGTCATGCAACTGTTGGTGTGAAAACACAGCAACGTGCTTGCAACTGCGTGCAAATGTTCCATTTATTATGATTCACACTTTAGCAACTCACCGGGTGGCACCATTCTCTTGACTCCATGTTATTTTCCAAGCTAAACATTTGTCCTCTAAAGTTTTAGGGGAAAAACTCCACCACACCTACATCATGTTAAAATCGCTCACTCTAGAAGAGGCACGATGTATATAAATGCAGACTTCTAACGAAAGAGTCTCAGATCACAAGAGTAAATAGCTGTTCTTTGATCACTGCTCAAAAACGTTGTGAGCAGGTGAATATTTGTAGACTGCACTGAGGAAAAGTTATTACTTGTTCCCATAATATAAGAAATAGGGGCCATCAAATTAAATTAATGGGCAGCAGGTTTAAAACAAATAAAAGGAAGTTCTTCACCACATAGCTCACAGTCAACCTGTGGAACTCCTTGCCTGAGGAGGTTGTGCAGGCTAGGACTATAACAGGGTTTAAAAAAGAGCTAGATAAGTTCATGGAGGTTAGGTCCATTAATGGCTATTAGCCAGGATGGGTAAGGAATGGTGTCCCTAGCCTCTGTTTGTCAGAGGCTGGAGATGGATGGCAGGAGAGAGATCGCTTGATCATTACCTGTTCGGTTCACTCCCTCTGGGACACCTGGCTTTGGCCACTGTGGGCAGACAGGATACTGGGCTGGATGGACCTTTGGTCTGACCCAGTGTGGCCGTTCTTGTGTTCTTATTTTCTTAGGTGTTTTAAATGGCTGAAGCATCCCTCCCTGGCCCCAGTGCACTACTGTCCTGGAGTGAGGTGATCAGAGAATCTAGCCCCAGCCTCTTTGAGTTCTGACATGAGGAGGGTGGGGATGGAGGGGGCAGCTGCCCCAAGGTCCAGTGATTCAAAAGGGCCCGGGTCCCTTTAAATTGCAGCCAGAGCCTTCAGTGGCGCGGTCTGGGCAGCACTAAGAGCTGGCTGGTTGGGGGAGGCGTGGCACAGTCCGGGCAGTGCTGAGGTCTGGCTGCCCTCAGGCCTGCTCCTTTCACCCTCAGTCACGCTCATGGAAAGAGCTGCTTCCCGCTCCCCTCCCCACACACCCTTTGCCCAGGGGCCTGGCAGTTCAGTCAGCTCCCCTGCTTGGCATGCAGGGCTGTAAAGTCCACGATCCAGTCTTCCCCCAGCTACTCACCCAACATACCTACAGGTGACCACGAGGCTTTCTAAGCCATGGAATTGCCCCCTGGTTTATTCACAGTCTCACAAGTAGAAAACTTTTGAAGGGAATCAGCCATAATTCTCAAGAACCAGGTAAAGAGCAGACCTCCCCACGCATCCAAACAGTACTTCATTGAAAAGCAAATTCCAGCTGCAAGAAAGCCAGTTTGTTTCCAAAATAATGGCACAGTTCTAGCCAGGGTGGTTTCTGCATGCAGGGTTTGGTGCTGTGTGATGATAGGCCGTGACTGCCAAATTCAGATTCCAAGCTGAACTTGCCTGACAGTGCGGCAGTTTCAGTGGAGGGTCTGGGGCCAGTCTGTTAGATGACGGTGGGGGGACCATGTGTGAAGTTGGTAGCTGGATCTGATCATCATTGTCTGGTGTGGATGAATCCCGCCCCCTCCCATCCCCAGCCTGGGACTACAGAGCATGACTGTGAACTGTGTGTGTCATGTAATGAACTTTTGTTTGTCATTTGCCTCCTGCTAAGCACTGCTCATGCGGTAGCAAGAGCATCTCCAGAAAGGCAGTAGGGCCTCACCTGGGTGCAATCTTGTTTTGCTTCTGCACATTCAAGGGAACTGTGCAGAGTAGTGTGATGCTCCTTGAGCTTTCATGCAAATTCCGAACAACTAGGCATGTACACCTGCCCAGCACCAACTGGGACCTGTTCCCAACGTCACATACTGCTCTGGTTTCCCAACTGATCTCTTCCTTGTCTTTGTAATCCAGCGAAACCCTCCTGCATGGAGCATCCACATGCCAAATTGTCTTTATGAATAACCTCAGAACGTGTTTCAAGCTCTTTTGATGTGGATCTAGGAAGCAAGCAGGGTGCTGTTCACCAGCATAGCTCTGTTGGCGCCAGCAACGCCCCTCGTTTCATGGTTGCTGTGCTGGTTTACATCAGTAGAGGACCTGGCCCTGTGTTTTTAAATAAACTAGAGTCATGTTGGGTATTCAAAGTAATGGAGTATGTCTTGATGGTTACAGGTGGCTGGAACAGTCTTCTTTCTGCTGGCCTGCTTACTTTACAAGCCTCCACCCCCGGAATCCCAGCCCGGGAGCTCAGCTGCATTAGAAAATGGAAAATGTGACCTCCAAGAGAACAAATCCCCACTCCAGACCCAGGCTGCTGCATAACACTGAAAATACTGCAAGGAATTTTCTCCCAGCCTCCGAAATACCATGGCAGGATGTGTGATGTCTTATGGTTACTATTATTACTATTGTGTTACACTTTTGTTTTTTTAAAAGGGTATTTTAAATAAGTTCTGGGTTGGCATAATGTTTTCTGAATGGCAGAAGAACAGGAGAGGGTATGTACTTGGATCCAAATGAGTAGAGACCTGCGCAGATACACAATTTGTATCCGTAGCCACATCTGCATCTGCAAAAATGATCCATGGGCATCTGTAGGCACAGCTGGATATCTGCGGCATTGCAGGGCTCTGCATATGAGGATCTATACACTGATGCCAGACCCTTTGTTTTGCTTGATCTAAAAAAGGGCTACCCATAGCTTAGTAGCACTCTTGTAACAAACCTGAACCACACTAAAGAAGCTAGAGGAGCAGCGTGAGACCAAATTCTCAGCTGGTGTAAACTGGCTCCATTAACTTCTGCTGAGAATCTGGCCTGTAACACATACGTTAGAGCCATCGCTAGCAAAGCACTTGTGTTCAGACGTGTTAGGTCTGATGAACTGCCTAGCCTCATCCGTGGGCCACTGGATAAGATGTGGCAGAGGGCCAGGCTCCGCCTTGAGCAGAAGGGGCGGGGCCTGGGACAGTTCCTCTGGAGCACCACCCAGCGTGCACCACGCCAGCCCCCAGTGCCAACTGGAGCGTGGTTCCCCCGCCCTTAGCACTGGGAGGCCTGTCCCTTCCCCACCTCCCCTCTTGTTGGGAGGTCTGGCCACATGTTAATTTGCACTGCAAAGGAAGTTAGCACTTAAACTACTACAGGTTGAACCTCTAGTTCTGAACCCTCAGTACCTGACGGGTGCTGAACCAGAGAATTTGCCAACCCACGGCAGGTCAATATTGTCTAGCAGCATGACCCTTCCACTGCTTGCTGGGCTCTTAGAAGACATTTAGGAGTAAATTAGAGCTAAACAACAGCACAGAATGCTGAGAGCCAGGACTGATGACTGTAATCAGACTAGAGAGATTCAACCTGTATATGCAAAGCAAGGAGCAAAACCAGTGACTTGTGTTGCAGCAGCACACACAGCATTGTATCTGTGTGCAGTTCAGTTATAGAACATTTAATTGCGATCATAAGACGTGTTTGAGATCAGGGATTACCCGGGATGTTCATGGGTAGATCACATAGAACATACTATAGAAACTTGAACTCCACTGGCTATTTTTAACACACTACCCAAGCATTTTTATATCAGCCCCTGTGGGTTTGCAGTATAGTTACAATCTGCTTTTCTTATACATTGTGTTAAGCTGGACAAATTTTGTAATGGACTGTAAAGGCAATTGGACTATTTGTTGTCCTTGTGCATTAGCTGTTGTGTTGTTTTGACACAGAAGCATGTAAGATATGGATCTATGCAATGGTTTGTTTGGTCTGCGAGTTAGGGACATTGCTTTTAAGTACACCGAAAAATCAGAAATAATTTAATTTTTCTTACACTGCTAGTTTCAAGAGAAACCAAACATAGCGATCAACTTTATTGTAGGAAGCTAATGAAAAGATTCACCAGGTGGGACAAATAACCATAGCTCATGGAACAACATTGATTTGCACCAGGTGATGATCTGACCCATTGTTTGGAAAAGCACTGGGCCATATTTTCAAAAATGCCCTTTAAACATGCCCTGCGGGATTGGCCATAAGTGGTTGGCGAGAACAAGCAATGGATTTTCAGCATCAGATAGCCAGATTTATGGGTGTTGGTCTCACCTGCGCCCCTGGAATCATGCAGGTGGCCAGATCATATTATTTGGGTTGTCAAATAGTTGCACTGGTGAAAAAGGCAAGTCAAAATTCCATACTTGGATTGAGGCCTCTCTCAGGAGATACAGGCCCCTGAAATCCTTACACTGGATAAAGTTGTAGTGAAGAATTAATGGACAACCACTATCGAGCTGTTTAACCGACATTTGATGTTTGCTAGAAAATATTTAGAAAGGTTTTGTAGATACTTTGTATATTTTTCTATTTATGGTTTTGTAAAAGGGTCAAGGCTGAAAAGTTGGCTTTTCGTTTTTTCCCTCAAAGGTTTAAACATTTCCAAGAACAGCCAGCACCCTTAAACACAGTCTGAGTCCAGACACGAAACTGTGGTCTGGGCTGGAGCATGGACCCTGAAATCTGCCCCTTTGTCCCACCCACAGTTCCAGCGGCTCCAACCTGAGCTGCAATTTCAAAGCACTGTCTATTCAGCAGCATTTATAGCTGTCATCCTGGGCTGCGAGTCTTGTTGTCAAGTGCCATGTGCACCTACCCTGGGAGAAAATAACTAGTTTCAGGAAACACTGCAACATCTCTGGG